TTATTTATTTAGTTCAGGGCTGAGGATTGAACCCAGGGCCTCACAAATGCCAGGCAAGGTGTCTTGCACCGAGTCACATCTCTAGCCCTTGATTTTTATATTTTAAAGCTACAAACATTATAAAAGCTATCACTATTTCTTAAAAACCTATAACAATGACATTTTTCTGTGTGTCAGGCTCACATGCTTTATTTAGTAAATATTTGTTTATTTACCAAATGGTTACGTAACATACAGTTTTTTTAAACTTTATTTTATTTATTTACTATTTTATGTGGTGTTGAGGGTGCTGAGAATCAAACCCAGTGCCACACATGTGCTAGGCAAATGTTCTACCACTGAGCCACAACCTCAGACCTACATACAGTTTTTAAAGTAAACTATAATTTTGCATATAACAGAAGCATCCAGAATGAAATATTTGTATTATTTACTAAGAAAACTAGGGTTGAGTTATATTTTTTAAATAATATGCCACTCATACTGATTACAGCTAAAATTGTTTTGCTCAAAGTGGATCTATAGCATGACATTATGTGTATAATATTGCACAAATCATATGGGTATAACTTCTAGAAACCTAACTCAGGAATATAAAAGCTATTTAATTTCATTGTTTATAAAATTGAATAATTTTGAATCTTCAAATTGTTTTCAAATAAACCTTTGTGAAGCTGTAGATATTCAGGGAGGTGTCTTAGAGAAAATAAGCGCAGCTGCTTAACTGAGTCTGAATTGATTTATCTTAAATTTTCTTTTGCCATCTACGTAAATTTTCATTTACAGAAAGTATTATGCTAATTTAAACAAAATTTTTGGAGGCAATGGTTCTGTACAATTTATAAGTTTTTTTCCCCCACCACAAAAATTTTACTTCAATTGCTCTGAAGTAACGGAGGTAAGATACTAGTTTTGTTTTGGGGAAATTTCATGACTCCATGGCAGGTGATGGTTTCTGGAGGAAGTCTAATCTGCATTCGCAGACAATCTTCAGGACTCATGGAAATGTTATGTATTTGTTCTACATGCACAGTGTATATATTCATTTTGAAAATATGCTATATATCTATACACACACAATTATTTGGGAGGAAATACTTCTTTCCTATAAGTTTAATTGTAAAATAACCACATTAATATAACAGTACATGAGTTTTAAATGTATTTTGAATGAATAAAGTTAATATTTTAAGTTTAAAGTATTATGGGTAGATTTATGATATCTAAAAAATTTGAAATACTTGCAAAACAATCTTTGACTCAATATGGAAAAGGAACAACACTAATTGTATTTGTATCATATATGGCTCCCATCTAAGCTATATTTACCATTAAACTGATACTAGGTGATAAAAAAAGACTATAATCCCAGTGATTTGGGAAGCTGACGGAGGAGGATGGCAAGTTTGAGGTCAGCCTTGGCCACTCAGTGAGACCCTATGGGTTGGAGGGGAGTAAAAGGGAATGGGAATGCAATTCAGTGGTACAGCATCCCTAAGTTCAATACCCAGTGAGAGAGAGAGAGAGAAAGGAAGAAGAAGAAGGAGGAGGAGGAGGGGAAGGGAGAGGGGGAGGAGACAGAGAGAAAACAGAGGGAAAAATAAATATTAGTACCCAAAATTTTGGAATGTTAGGACTAACTGAGCAAAAACTGATAGTAAAATAGAATGAAGTATTCATGCAGAAAGTGTAGTAGGTGGTACTAAAAAAGGTGAAAATTTCTGATTTTGTACATCTGATTACCTAGATGTAAGGTACTGGACCAAATGGAAGGAGCCTAGTCTGTGAAATGATGTTAAGTATGAGACTTAATTTACCAAGGATACACATTTCATTAAGCAAAGATTCTCTGTGATTTTTCCTCTAGTCCAATAATAACAGCTTAATAATCATGAATATAAAATAATAATTAATTCTTTCTTTCTTAAAGTCACATTTCAAGGCATTCCTTCCAGATTCCAGGCTGAGTTATTTTCAGTAATAGTTAGGCTCAACCAAAATGGCAAAAATATTCCAAAGACAGATCTAAGATATATTCCTCCAGATGTAAGTGAATCAGGATTACAGTTTTTTCCCTTAATATTCTGGGAATTAGAAATTCAAGTTTATCTGGTTTGCTTTAAAAGTTATATTAACATAGAAAGATAATTTAGAAGTGTATGACAGGGCTGAGGTGTACCTCAGTCAGTGGTAAAGCACTTGCCTAGCATGCGCGAGGCACTGGGTTCGATTCTCAGCATCATATAAAAATAAATAAATAAATAAATAAAATAAAGGTATTGTGTCCATCTACAACTTAAAAAAAAGTTTACGACAACGGAGTTAAGAGTTTGCAAATATTATATTTATCTTATATATCGTGTTTTTTGCTACAGCGTTTATATTTGTTTTTGTTCTATAATTTGTCTTATAAAAACACATTTGTTTGTTTAAATGGTTACAAGTCCTAATTGTACATTTTAGCAAAAATGTATTAATTTTAAAAAACTGCTTTAAGGACATACATACATATTTTAATCATTAATTACAGAAGTGATGATTTTCACTTTGTAAACTTGCTACCCTTTTGAAATAGAAGGAAAAATACAAAAATTTCGAACACACTGAGTATGATTGTTTATTTCTCTTTGAGTCTATAAAAAAGAACTAGAAAAACTACTGTGTTAACTGGTTCCAAGTAAATAAATCATCTTGAAGGAAAGATAGTACTTAAACTGTTGTATTTATCAGGAAAATGCAAAGAAGAGAATTAGTACAACTGCTTCTAGTCACTGTGTAAATGACATTTAAATTTAAAGGGGTTTTCAATGGGTAACACTAAATTTATGAATATTTACAATGTCTTAAATCTGAACAATGTTTTATAAACATGGGCATCATTAAAATTTGCTACACAAAATGTTAAATTGCATTATTAACTATTTCTTTGTATGCACAATAGACAGCATAGTTAAACTATATAAGAAAATGATTTTTTTACATATTTTTCTTACTAATACTGTACATGTGCAATATAAAGTGCACATTCTGGGGGTAAAAAGGAGAGAGAGAAAAGTAGGAGCAGAAGATGAAGAAGCAGAGTGAGTGGACATTTGCTTTTTGTAAGCAACAAAGCAAATATGACTTTGAAATGTCTTACTGGAAACAGAACATGCAACTATTTTAACATGCATAGGATATCAATGTAATAACCTCTTTATCAAGTGACAAAAAATGTGAAAGAGGAGCACATATAGTTGAGGTTTTTAAAGTCATGCATACAATGTACAATGTAATTAATATTTCATGCAGGCTTTGGTGTGGTTACACATTTATGTATATATACATGCCATCACATACAGCTGAAGACAATGCCACAATTTTCAAATTTAAAAAAAAAAACTAGCCAAATGATACTTTTCAATAGCAGCTCTTCAAATCAGATGAGAGAAGCACAGTGCATATTAAAGAACATCAAAGTATTGTGCAAATTTGATCATACACAACCATATTCATACCAAACAGTTTGATTATCCTCAGAAACCAACAATGCAGCTTCTGTGTCATCAGGATAGAGGCATGCAGGAATGATAAGGTTATTGCTATCTATAGAGGACTGTGAGTTACTGTTACTAGGGTTCTGACTATCAGAACACTGCTCATTATCTTTCTTTGCAGCTTTATCCGAAGGGGCAAAAACCTGGTCAGTATCTCTGGTGACTGATCTGAGAGGTAACCCACTTATGTTACTAACTAATTCTGTATTCAGGGATAAGAATGGCTGAGATGAATGAACCATACTAAGTGATCCTATGTTATCTTTAGTTGCTATTCCAAATGCCTCATTAGATACATTAAAAGTAGCAAAAGTTTGGTTTGGAAAATGTGACTTTTCTGTTCTTGAGCTTCTAGTCAGGGCAGATAGAGACTCAAGCATATCTGTAGCTAAATCATTTTGGGCATGAGAATCTACAGCACATGTTGAACTGTGAAATGCATGAGAGGACCACTGGTGTAAATGGTACTCACTAGATGCTGCAGTGATGTTGCTATCAGCAGCAGGTGGAGGTGAATCAACTGATACAGGTACTCTACTGTCCTTGGTCAAAAAATCATGGATGCTTGTCCTTCGTGTAGTTCCTTCGGCAGTAGAGATCACACTACTTGCACGAGGTAAAGTGGCATAAGGATTGCTATCTTTTGATTGTCGTGACAGAGAGGTTTCTTTTACTAATTTTATCTTTCCTTGAGTGCCTGGTGTAGTTTTTCCTGAAGAACTAATGAAGTATGCATCTTCAGTCTTTCGAGGACCAGATCTCACAAATTCAGGCTTAGTTGTCCGTCTCTCATAGAAGTCCCCTGGGGCTTTTCCACTTACTGACCTGGCAAGACCAGAGCTAACTGGTTTGTCTTTTCCCAAAAAGTCAGAAGAGACAGACAAACTTTTCATTACTTCATCTAAGAGATTCTCTTGGCTTGAGGACTTTAACTGTTTAAAAAAAAAAATAAAACAGATCAGTAAATACAGCCATGTTTTGATTTTCCTGATATACTGAGCTGTATGATATACAGATGCTGGTAATTCTTAACACTCCAGAATTTTTTTAAAAAAGCTCTAAAGTTCAAACAGATATTTAACTTGTGATTTAACTTGTGGTATTCTTCTTCTTCTTCTTCTTCTTTTTTTTTTTTGGCACCATGGATTTGAACCCAGAGGCACTAAACCACTGAACCACATCCCCAGCCCTTTTTTATTTTGAGACAGGATCTTACTATGTTTCTTAGGGCCTCCCTAAATTGCTGAGGCTAGCTTTGAACTTGCAATCCTTCAGCCTCAGCCTCCTGAACCCTGGGATTACAACCACTGCACGAGGTGATATTCATGTTAATTAAGGTCATCATACATAAAACTAACCTGTATTGAGGTAAGCTTGTTGCTTTCTTCCAAAAACTGTTGTAGAGTAACAATTTCACTTCCAGGGGAACCAGTTTTGATTTTGTGATGTGCTCGACTTTCTAGTGTTTCAGGCATTTTGTGCTGGAGCACTGGACTTGATCTGGTCTGTCTTTTCAAGTACTGGATTGGACTGCTACCACTGCTGGACCAAGTCTCATGATCATGAAGCAGGCTAAATTCTCCACTGCTGTGGCTTTGTGGCCTGCTTTGGTTATTAACTGCACCTGCTTTTGGAGTAAATGGTATGTTGAGACTTCAGTAATAGAGATGAGATTAATACTACATAAGCAGTAATATTTGTTGATGGGACTCTTACTGTATGAATAGTCAATCTTATTTTCAGGTTTTATTTAGAAACGCTTAGTAAACCACATTAATCTTTCATCAGTTTAACAACTATCTGTCACAGCTTGCTTCCTTATTTTGTCAAATTGACAGATATTTTAAGTTCCACGAGGACAAAAATTTGCTTTTACCATAATTCTCAGAGCCTAAAGAGAACCCCTTACATAGAAAACATTCAACATACTGATGACTAAATATATGAATAAACAGATGAGTGAATAATACATTTTTAAAAATTCAGGCTCAATTAATTGTAAAATTTAGTCAAGAACATGATTACATGAATTTTAAATTATTTCAAGATGTTAAAATCTAAAACTGTTCTGAATGCAAAAAAAAAAAAAAAAAAAAAAAAACAGAGGTAAAACAAGAAAAGATTTCTAGTTCTTTGTTTCTCTGTGAAGTTCCCTTTACTTATTTGAAGGTTCTGTTCATCCTAATTGAATACTTAAATTAAAATTTAAATAACACACACATAAGGTAAGTCAAATGGAGACATGATACAGTTAGTTAGAAAACTCCAGTAAAATATGAAATCAAATATTTACTGTTTTATTCTTTTCTTAATGAATCATCTTATTGTTCCTACTGTCCACTGTTGGTATGTTGCCTACATAGTCTTATAAGACTCAGTTGAAGGTCAATTATATAGAATTAGTTAGTTCTGGAATAAAGCTCCTTAAAATTGATACTATTCCTAAAGAGTACTGATTTATTTTGATCAATAAAAAACTGTATAACACATCAAAACAGAAAATGAAACATTCCATGGTTTCCTAATTACAGAGAGTAAAGTGGGAGATGAAAGAATTTATCCCAACTTATGTAACATTTCACAGCAATAGCATTTTCTTAAATTTTCAAATAAAAAGAAATTCTTCACAGTTTATACTATGTTTTCTTACTGGATATAATATGCTTGTAAAAATTTTTTTTAAATCCCTCAAAATCAGATATTTTACATCACTGCAGTATGGCATAGCATTCATGATGAAATTACAACTGAGACAAAATAATTTTATAATCCTCAAAGCACCAGAATATATTCATTATATAATTTGATAATTCTGGACTATACAGGATAACTATAATAGATTGGTTAAATAATTCCAGCATCTGAAAAGGCAGTATATCTTCAAAGAAAAAGATTTTAGTCAAAGTTTCCATACATTTAACATAAAAGCCTCACCTCTGAATGCATATTTAAGAAGTGACGAAGAAGTATTGAAATAATTCTTTCTATGAGCAATATGCATCCATACAGTTCTTGTGCAACACACACACACACACACACACACACACACACACACACACACAGACAACTGCTTTTCAAATTAAGAATAACAAAGCTTAATTTTATTTTGTGGATAAATTAAGCTAAAAGTATTTCTAAAATATGATTAATGTAAGTTTAAAGTACATGAATCATAAGAAAATTAAGGACAATCACTTAGATGTCCAACAAAATGTAAGTAAAATAAGAACCTATGAACAATTTTTATGTACAACATGAATATTTTATCTGTGAAGATGAAAAACTGAAACCAAAATAACTGCTCCTGTTTTTACATTAGTATTCATTGAAATACATATGTATTACAATGAAAAAAATACAAATGTTCAAAAGACTATGTTCCAAACACAGATTTGTATTTCACACTTTATCCTGGAAATGTCATCTCATCTTCAACTTTGTTCCCCACTGGTGCTGAGGACTGAAAACAGGGTCTTGTGCATGCTAAGCATGTGTTCTACCAATGAGCTACAGGCTCAGCCCCACCCAAACTTTTAATTAGTACTGGAAATGGATGGATTACATTAATAAATTTACCTACAGCATACCTTTGACTTCATGGAGTGAAGCATTATTATTGCTATTGCTAGTGGATGTTCTGCCACTATCAAGGCTGGCTGGTCTTGAAGCTAAATGAAAAAATCAGGAGACAGTGTGATAAAACTTCTAAGCTGATAACACTGAATTGTACACTCTGATCACAGAATGCTTTGAGGAAGCAATCATGCATACTTTCACAGACTAAGCATGCCCACAGACAGGTGAATCTTGTAGTTTAGAAAGCAAAGACATTTTCAGATTGTAGTCCTATCTACAATAGATAGAAACAACCGTACAGTTCACATTGCCCTATGCTACTACTTCTTAAAACCCTGCTTAAAATTCCATGAAATTCCTCTATTATGTTATCTATTTTTTATTATTAATAATGGTTAAGTTTTTTAACATATGATTTCAGGTGGAAATTAAACAATCTGAAATATTCAATTGTAGAAACTTTGCTAAAGTTCATCCTTTGCCAAAATGAGTATTTACAAACCAATGGTAAAATTAAACTCTTATAACTAAGCTTATGTAAAAATAGAAATAAAATTATCTTTGGAGATTGTGCAGGCATATTTTATAAATGACCTTGATTAAAAGAAAAAGCATGTAAATCAAAGGCTGAATGTTCTCTCTGATAAGTGGATGATGATTCATAATGGGGGAGGATGGGAAAAATGGAGGAACTTTGATTGGGTAAAGGGGAGGGAGGAAAAATGGTGGAATGAGATGAACATCATTATCCTAGGACCATGTATGATTGCACATATGGTGCAACACTACATTGTATACAACCAGAAAAATGAAAAGTTGTGCTGCAACTGTGTAACGAATCAAAATGCATTCTGCTGTCATATATGCCTAATTTATATAAATAAAAAAAAAAACAGAAAACACATAGAGAAACAATAATATTAAAAAGGACAAAAGGGAGGATTAGGTTTGAAGAAATGGCAGAAGTAACTGTGAGATTCAGGACAGACAGAACATGCTTGCTGGCAATACCACATTTACTTTTCAATGCAAGAGTGTCAGCATTCCCATTTAGTATTTAATGTGTACTCCCTAAATAAAGGACCATATCTTACCATGAACTCTTGATCCCGTACTAGAATCATCACTAATACCATGTGGACTTATGTCTTCAAAGGATGTAGCATCTACATAAAATAGCAAAATGGATATAAACATATTTTTGTAACAAAACAATACCACTACAAAATATTATTTACACAGAATATAGAAGTTCTTTTTCAATCACATATATCTTGACTTAACATATTTCATAGACTCAGCCAGAAACTGGAAATAGAAGTAAAGAATCAAGTAGTTCTGATGAGAGTTGACTTGCTTAGGGAAAATGTCAGAAGCAATGAAACAATCACTCCTGTGGCCCTGGAAAGTAAAACAAGAACCTGGATTGTTCTATGTAGTACTTTTACATTTTGTTTTGATTTTTAAACTTAGATTTCTTTCTCCTTTTTTCACTCTTTATCTGGTATACTTCTTTTCAATTGTTAGTTTATCAGCTGTTTATTATGAAAGTAGGCCTAGAGTAGATTTTAATTATTTGTGTAATGTTTTAAATTTTTGAAATGCTTTGGAAATTCCTCCAAATTAAATCCAGATTATGTTTTGATAATTATTTAAGGTTGTTTGAAAAAAAGAACACAGGGGAAAGTCAAATTAAAATTCCTGCTGTCAACAGTTACACCACAGTGCAAATAGCAGACGGCCTATACCTTTATTATTAACCAAATGCTTGGATCTGATGCCTGCAGAAGAGTTGACAGTTGAAAAGTTGATGGCTGTAGTAGAGAAGGCCATAGCTCCCAATTCTTTTCTCCTTTTACCCGTTGAAATATCATCAGGAACCTCCAAATTCTCAGTACTACCTGTCCACTGTCCTCCTGCTAGGACCATGGACTGCACCAGGTCATTCATGGCTGGGATGCAAATGAAAGCAAATGAATCAGCATGGTTAATGTATTGCTTTTATTTCTATTTTGTATTAAAAATGATCTGATTTTTGTCTATGAACTAATGAAAATGGACATTAAAAAAAACTATAACCACAAGGTCATTTGAATTATGACATGCATTCAGTTGAATGAAATGAGGAGGCCAAAGGCTGATAAGTTTCAGTAAATATTTTTATCCCACCTCCACCCGCTTTAAAAGACAAAGAAAGGAATTTTACTAGGTACAATTGCCATGCTTTTGCGCAATGATGTGCAATATAATTAGAAGCCTTCATAATGTGGTTTTGTGGTGACAAAATGGAATGAATTAAGATGGAGAGCAATTCTTATATAGCATCACTATTGAAAATGAAGGAGTCCTTGGTCAGAGCAGGTTACTGAAGAAATTATTCATTTTATAAATAAGTACACCACTGAATAAAAACCTGAAAGAGATGATCTCCAGTGATAGAGACATTTAACGTGATTATGTAGTTACCCATTCCACTTAGAAAAAAAGAAACCCAGAATATTATTATATAAAGAATGACAAACATTTTCAAGGATTATAGGCCATTTTATTTATTTATTTAACCAGGTTCATTAAGTAAACAAATACCTAATGCTAAAGATTTTGTTATTTTTTCCTTAAGTAAATTTCTTGAGGGAAAAAAATCTCCATGGCATATAAAATGTTCTTTTTTCTGCCAACTTTCAGAAAGCACTGGAAATTTTAAAGTATATTACATGTATTATTAAACATATGCATGTATATGTATCAGTAGACATACATATAATGCAAACTCAGTGCAGACTTTGAAAAAAATATTCTTCCAGCTCCTTGTAGTAAAGGAAGACTGCACTTTGCAAAATAATAAACTGGCACAGTCCAGAGAAAGGTTAGTGAAAAATTAGTAATGGAATCTAGTGTAGTCATTTGAAAGAAGCTGAACTGTCATAAAGTCTTACACATGGAACGACGGTAGCAGGCCTTCATTTTGTCTTTATCCTTCGGTCTGTTCCTCAAAAAGGGCAGTCTTTTCAGTGCAACCACTTTAATGTCAGAGCATGAGGGAAAAACAGAAACAGGGAAATGAAAGAAAAAAGGGAGAAGAACAGATGGGAGTTAAATGTTGAAATTAAGGACAGAAATGAATGTTTTGAGTTTCAGCTATGTATGCTATATTAAAGCTTATTCTCATGCTGCTGAATGATAATGAAATATGAAATATGTACTTTGATATTTTAAAATACTTGGAAAAGCACTGAAGACAATGATGAGGAACATACTTGGAAAGCTTAGATTGGCTAAAGTACTATAAAAACAGGAACTGGTTAGAATTACTTAGGAAAGGACCAATTTTTCTAGTTAAATCATAAAGGCAAACTTTAAAAATTAGGCTATTGGTGTTCCATAAAGTACATGATGAAAATGAACAAGGCTTTTTAAGCCCTTATTTTCTTTTACTTTTGAAGTTAAAGGCTTTATTTTAGAAAAAATAATTTAGGAAACTGTACATTCTATTGTAACACATCAACAAAAAATTAGGGGTCCCTAAAGATGTTCTGAATAATCTAAAGAAACTTTTGAAGTTACCTTTCATTTTCCCCCTAAACTTTAATGAAGAAAATATTGATCTAAACTGTCTTCTAGTGCATTATTTATCAGTACCACAGAAATACATATGGTTTCAACCAAAGTCTAAAGATGAAACAAGCAATTATGTGGAGTTCATTTTACAAAAAGTTGGCTGGGGAAAAGGAAAAAAAGAATATATTGACAGCAGTAATAAGTGATAGCACTAAGCTCTGGTAAAGTGAAAAAGATAAAGACACCCCAAAGTAAGCAAAATGAGATAAAAATGCATATAATATTTTAAAACATTTCAAAGGGTGCTTTGGATGAGTTTATTTAAAAAAACATTGCGTGAAAAAATTTTATCAGTGAAGGGATTACCACTCAAGCATAGGAGTCATTAGAATAAAAATTAAAATGTTCACTTGAGTCACTTAATCATTCTCAAGCTACATTTTTGTTAAGATTTATCTTAAGTATACGAAAAATTATGACCCCAGAAATGTAATACAGGAGTTGAGAAAACAACTTTTATAAGACTTAAAAACATATTACACACCCTTCTCAGGGTGTGCTATCATTTTGTAAATCATTGAACCTCTTTTAATAAGTTGAAAAGCATCATTCATTAAAGAGAATGAAATGGACATACAGTTTTTTAACTTGTTTGACTGCTAAGGTCTTTAATCTGACCTATTTCTCCTCAAACTTGGTAAACACAGCTGTTTTCAATGATTAAAAAGAATGGACTGAAAACAATGTAAAAATGGACACTTAGCTAAAACAAAGCTGGGTGGTTGCAGCATGCATGCACACACATGTTGTTTTGTTTAGACACTTTTTTCTTTTTCTGTTTTCAACTGTTTTCCAAAGACTGCTCTACTGACAGACAGACACTCTTCCAAAATGGATAAGATAAAAAATTTTAAATTTGCCAGGGATGAAATGTGATTCTTCTTATGGCAGTTAGTGTGCTGCTTTTTCCAAAGCACACTTAAAATTAAAGGAATATTAATACTGTTGGGTTTTGTGTCTGCTTTAAAAATTCTAAAAATGAACAACTGTAGGAAAGCAGAAGCAAGAATCCTTCTGCTTGTTCTGGCAGAGAGCATGAAAGAAATACAGATTTATACTTCTAACAGATAGGATGACCTCAAAAGAGATTGCTGTGCCTTTCTTGTGTATGCTCTCATACCTGAATCAAAACATCTTTGTTTAACTAAAAAAAAAAAATGAAGTAGATGTGTTACCATTTTTTACTTAGTGTGAGGTATTTTATATCTAAAGGAGACAGTTAAAACATCTTTTAAAGGAAAACTTTAGGATTTCTCTAAAACAATAACTACAAATTTGTGGACAAGAGTAGATCGCAAAAGACCTAGGATGACAATAATTTTATTTGGAGAAATAGAATCAAAACTGCTTTCTAGAGATTAGTGTTTACATGCAAGAATGCATGTTTACTTTCTATTATTGTTGCTTGCCTATGGATTCTTGTATTTTGAAATACATGTTATAAAATGTTTAATATCCTCACTCCAAAATAATTGTTCCCTTTCAAAGATAATTCACCTGAAGCTCAAACACTGTGCAGTTTTCTGAATACTCTGAGAATCACTCAGGTGTAGATCTTATCTCTGGGGGAAGCAGCTGCTTTTGCTTATTATTTATTTCAAAAGAATTGGGGTGTATCTGTGTGTGTACTCATTTAAAATTTTAAAAATTTAGTCATTTATATTGGTGATAATGTGAGAGGATTCAAAGTGCCTGGTTTACATATTTTTAAGAACTCTAATAGTTAACTTATTGGATTTTTTTTCTCTTGAAATATGATTTTTTAGGCTTTTACTTTGCTCTTCCTGTGTAAGCAAACTAGTAGCCAAATAAAAAGGTTACAAATTGTATAGAGCATGTTATGATGTGATACTTCTAAAATTTGTAATAAAAAGTTAAATCACAAGTTTAGTATGCCAATTCACATCTTTATTTCATTTTAATCAAAACTTTTCCCAAGCATCCCTCTCTAATTTGATAATCATCAAATTGCTCAAAGTATATGAGCAAACCCCAATTATAAATGCCTTATTTTGATTATTATAAATATTTATGAAAATGAAATCTTATACATATTTCTTACTTGTTTCTCATAACCACCCTGTGAAGTATAAAACAAAGGTAAAAACTGCTCATGTTAAAACAATCTGCAACCTGCAATTGGCAGACCTATTCTGGCTCTTATGTTCTTTCTACAATATTTTACCTCTCAGGCCAAATGATGATGCATAGTACATTTTAGAAAATTATGTGACTGGGTATTACTGCAGTATGTGATTAATTTGATATTGGATTAAAAAGAAATACCATATATCAGATTGTTTTCCCAAAAGATTGCTTAAGTGTTTTTTGAAAGGACTCCTAAATCAACACTAGGTTTAAAAGTTTGAGCACTCACTGCTGCTTTTCTTGGTCCCCAGGGTTTGGCCATCTTCTAAAGAGTTTGATCCTACTGAAGAACTATCTTGACTATCTTGATGGGGCAGCTGAAGAAATCCTTCACTGGAGTCTGAACGAGTAGGTGTTAACGTTAGAGATTTCTGACGTTCTCGATTAATATCTTTCTTGGATTTTATCAATTTTCTCATTTTTAGAGTAATCCAGTTGCCTCTCCTAATAGAATAATTTAAAAAATTCTTAGTCTAAAATTCAACACATAAATTCCTCATGAATTAGAAGTCTTCAAAACTAGAACAATTTATTTTCCAAAATAAAAATTCATAAAATTTGGTTAAAAGTACCTTCTAGGAGGAGATGGGTCATAAAATTTGTATTGGTCCATAATTTTTTCTTCTAATTTCTCCTTTTGCCGTCTTAATTCATTTAACTTATCACTATAGAAATAAAAATGTTTTAGGACATGCAGTCATGTTTTGTACAGCTATGAATGGTATTAAATTATTCTGGGACTATGATATAACTTCTTCCCCAAATGTAAACAAATGGTCACTATGATTGACAACTCTTAAGTTTGTTTATTAGGAAGAACAATGGGTTTTTCCCATATTTCTCCTTTTCTTCAAATTTCCAATTTAACTGGGCATAATGGTGCATGCATGTAATCCGACCAGCTTGGGAGGCTGAGGCAGGGGGATCACAAGTTCAAAGACAGCTTCAGCAATTTAGTGAAATCTTAAGCAACTTAGTGAGACTCTGTCTCAAAATAAATAAATAAATAAATAAATAAAAAGGGCTAGGGATTTGGCTCAGTAGTAAAGTGCTCCTGGTATCAAAAAAGAAAGAAAGAAAGATCATTAGAAACTTCTCAATACTACCTGTGTTCACTGTCACTCCTGCCAGAATCATGTGATAGAGGCATTTGGCTAGAAATGTCCAACATATAATAAGGATATTTTTAACTTATATTCAGTGAGTCAGAATGGATAATAATATTTGGAAATCAACCATACAAAAACATCACTTAAACCCTGGAAATAAATTAGTCACCATGGGTCAGAATATTAAGACAAAACTTTGGGTAATACCTCTGCTTAACGAACAGGAAACTCAAATGCCAAGAACTTTATATATACTCAGTGCTTTTTAACTTACAATATGGCAGAGACTAAAGGAACATATATTCCTAAAAAGGTTGTAGTCCAAAGTGGCCAGCAACAAATGTGAAATTTCTTTAAGGTTTTGCATTTATCTTAAAAGTTCATGCTAACTCTGAGATGGGTATGATGGCAGATACCTGTAATCCCAGCTATTTGGGAGGTTGAGGCAGGAGGACCACAAATTCAAGGCCAGCTTAAGGCAGCACAGTGAGACCCTATCTCAAAATAAAATTTAAAAACTGCTAGGCATGTAGCTCAGTGGTGGAGTGCTTACCTAGCATGCACCCTTGAATACAACTGCCAGTACCATGCCCCCCTCAAAAAATATTAAAAATAAAAATTTAAAAAATTCATGCAAACTCTGTGTTCCATGTGCATTAATATAAAAAAATGCTCCCTACCCTAAATTCTATAATAAAATAGATATTTGAAAAATATATATATTTTGGTTTCAGATGTGCCTTGGCTTCCCATCATGAACAAGTCGGAAAAGCATTATTTCATTTACACTTTAGAATAACATGGAAGTAGCTGTTATCTTTATTTTAGAGAGGCAGCAGCTAATGATCAAAGAAATGAAGTGACTTGTTTTTAGTCTTCGGATAAAACTGAAAAATTAGGACATAAATTAGGAGCTGTTTGATTTCAACAGCTGGCAGTTTCTATGACACTATGGTGTTTCTTATTTTAGTGGGGAAAAGGAAAGGAAGAATTTAATACAGGTGAATCATGGTATAATAAACTGACCTGCCCAGGTCCAAATCTCTGAGTCTTATCAAATTCCCCCATTCTTAATGTACTTAACTTCTGAATAATTTAGCTGGCTAATTCTGTCTCTCATATAATTTTATTTTTTATTTTTGCTATGCTGGGGATTGAACCTAGGGCTCTGCACATTTAAAATAAGTGCTTTACCACTGAACTACCTCCCCAGGCCCATGTAATTTGATCTTAACTTATGGTATAAAGAAACTTTTGTGAACTGGCTCCACTTCTCTAGTGTTCCTCCTCCTTCAGTTTGGCTATAGAAATAATAATTAATTTTTAGTTCTTACAACACACTCATCATACCTCCATGTTTTTGCATTGTTATCTATTTTGGTCTAGTATGTACCTTAAGCAAATTTTCTCTTGTAACTTCAAGTCTCAGCTCAAGTCTCATCTTTGAAAACTAGGGCCCCCTATACATATCTCCATTATGTGTGTATGTGTTATATTGACAGTATTGGAAACTGAATCAAGGGATTCACACATGCTAGGCAAGTACTCTGCCACTAAACCACATCTCCAGCCCTTTTTGTTTTGAGACAATTTCTTGCTAAATTGCCCAGACTGACTTCAAACTTGCAATCTTCCTGCCTCAGTCTCCCAAGTACCTGGGATTCTAGGAAAGCACCACCAAACCTAGCTTTAGCATCATAGTATTAAAAAGTATTTCCCTGTCTTTACTGCTTTATATTACTAATTCTTTCAGAGCAGGAACCATGTGTTTTCATGTTAGTGTTTCTGGAATATAAGCACTCAAAACACATATTCAAATAATGCTGATAATCAAGAAAAATGAGTATGAAATTTTCTCTGTCACCAGGTATGGCAATGATAATATCATGACTACTATTTCAGAGTGTGAAATTATTTGATACCTACATGTACTGTCTTTGTTCAACATGAAAAAGATCCTTGCTTTCCATATTCTGCTCCAAAAGTGTTCTGTTCTGTAGCATGAGAGTTTGAATTTGATCTAGTAAGTGTCGATTTTCTTCTTCCAAATTTCCTTTAAGTTGGCTAAGCAACTGTTAAAACACACACAAAAGAAAAATTTTTTAAACATTTACATTTTACATAAATCACCTGACCCAAAACATTTAAAATATATTAAGTACTACACAAAGACTTAAGTCTTCCGCTGTTTTAACAATTAGATGGTTTCACTTTGGTCAGAACATGAATGATTATTTTAGTGATAATGACAGGTACAGCACTGGGTTACATGCTATACAAATGTATTTTCTTATTCCCTCAAACACTGGGTTTAATATATCATAAATGATCTGTTCCAAAATACTTTTTTTTTTTTTTTTTGGTGTGGTGCTGGGGATTGAACCCAGGGCCTTTTGCATGCAAGGCAAGCACTCTTCCTACCAACTGAGCTATATCCCCAGCCCCAAAATAATGCTTTTTACCTTAAAAACTGTTTTACTTATAGTTCAAAAGCTAGATCAAATCTCTGGTCTTTTGTTTAAGTGGCTAAGAAAGTTTGGACAAGTTAGTTAATTCTCAAATCTATAAAATGAGAATAGCTCTTACCATGCTACAACTGTTGAAAATAAAGTATACCTATGTCACATAGTAGATAGTTAATGAAAAATTCTCAAAAGGTAAAGAAAATCAGGAAGAATGATACTTACTATGAATAACCATACAAAATCATCTTGATCCAAGAAATATCAATATTGTACATGACTGGTTTATTTATATATTGTTATATTGAAATATAATGTGGTAGATTCATTGAAAAACAGTTATTTTCTTTCTTATCCACACCTTCTTACATTATGACTTCTCACTCTTCCCATCAAGCAGTGGAATCTATTTCCCCTCTTCTTGAATTTGGAATGCCTTTGCCGAAGAATAAATGGGAGTGATGTATGAAAGTTCAAACCTGGGCCTCAAGAGGCCTTGTATACTTCACCTCAGTCTATCGAAACCCTTCTAGAAGATGAGAAGCCACATAAAACAGAAAAGAGGTATCTCAGGCAGCTGTCCAGCATATCTGCCAGGTAACTATAAATGCAGAAGCAAATCACTGGTCTATACATTAGTGGGTGGATTGGTACATCTGCTTGGCTAACACACAAACTATTGAGCACAAAGAAATGTTTAATGTCCATCACCATTGAGGATTTATGGTTGTTATTATGTTAAAAGACAATGGATGAGACATATATTGAACCCTGGGCACTTAACCACTGAGCCACATCCCCAGCCCTTTTTATTTATTTTGAGACAGGCTCGCTAAGTTGCTGAGAGGCTGGTTTCAAATTTGTGATCCTCCTGCCTCAGCTTCCCACGTTGCTAGGATTATAGACATGCACCACCACATCCAGTGAGACATATATACAGAAAAGAGAACAGATTTTAAGTGTGTATATACAGTTCAATGAATTATCACAAAGTTAACGTGTTAAGACAGCACCCAAATCAAGAAACAGAACATTAATTGTATTCCAGTAACACTGCTATGCTATTTTGCAGTCACCATTCCTTCCCACCAAGGTTAACTACCATCCCCAACCTCTTTCTTACACTTTAGACTTCTACATTTTCCAAATCATTTTATTACATGACTTCACCCCTAGCCAAAGATTAACATTTGTCCCAACTTGTGACAGCCAGGCAGAAGCAGATAGCTAGGGCCTTCTCTGATCTCTCCTGACCAGCATACCAGATACCAGACCACTTGGTGAGACCTACCAAAACTCACTGTGGTAGTCTTATTTCTTGGATGTCTTAGTTAAATTTCTGACTAATTTGCTAGTCAATTATTTGCCTCAATGTACTTTAATCTCAGGCTATCTGGGCAAGGAGCTTTTCCCTGCTCTGCTCAAAATCAAGCCAGTCTTCTCTAAGAGCAGTGCTGCTGGTTTTTACAGCTTACTTTGTGCTGTTAGAACTTCAGAGGAAAGAGATACCACAAGATAAAAATGCCTCAGAAAACCAACCACAGTTATTCTCTAAGGTTGAGCAATTTTTCTCTAATAAGTGCCTCTCACTTTTCTGTATGCCATTACTTGAGTTCTGGAGTTCTAAAATATTTTTTGACAGTTCTATCAAATTTTATTATTTGTTGAGGAGTTGATTTACCAAGTACACCCACCTAACTATATGTTATTTAGATTTCTATAAATCATAGGTAGAATGAATGCTCTGCACATTTTAACTTTGTTGGGTAATTAAATGTATGTGCTTTCAAACTAATTTTCCTTTCTACTGGTTTATAGCATCACAGTAGGTGTAACATAAACATTTTTTCACTAAGGAAACACATAACTTTACAATTCAAAGTATCTGGACATAAAAGTTTAAATGAATAATAAAAATGAATGAAATTAAAGATACAGTAGGTTTTTCTAAATCACTTGTGATTTTAATTATTTGTGATCAATTCTTTTGAAAACATACCACTAATTATATGCTGCTGATGTTGTTACAATATGATTATTTATTTTTTAGGCATGTTTTGATATCCAAAGGAAGTAAACAGTGATTCAATTTGTTAAAGCTCACCTCACACTGATTATTCAGCTTAGTGGACGTGATATCTAGCTGTTGGTACTGCTCCTTCAGTTTTGAAAATTCAGCTTCTAACCTTGTTTGTTCCAGTTTAGAAGTATTTAGAAGACTTTTCAAATTTTTATGGTCAGTTTGTAAAACTTCAGTCTCTTTTAAAAGCTGAGTATATGTATGATTCAACCTAAAATTAGAAATCACAACAGAAACATCATTAGATTCTCTTAATAGCTTTCATGTAATTTACATATTGTAAAAATGCTGTATAAATAAAAGAGATATTTAAAGAATATACAAGATTCTTTGCCAGTTACTAAACTGATCAAGAATCAGTCTCTTTTCTGGGAAAACTAGATTAACAAATTTCTGAGTACATTTCTGTAGAAAAGAATCTTTATCCTTTAAATAGGTTGAAGAAATAAAGATGCGGGCTGGGGTTATGGCCCAGCGGTAGAGCGCTTGCCTCACATGTGTAAGACCCTGGGTTCAATCCTCAGCACCACATATAAATAAATAAATGAAAGTATTGTGTACAACTACAAAAAAAAAATATTAAAAAAAAGAAAGATGCTCACAATTTTGTCACAAAAAGTATTAATAAAAATATTTAGAAAAAAAGATAAAAGAAGTAGTGACCAATTCAGTTTTGGAGAATTTAAAATTCAACATGAAACAAAGCTTTTTCTTTTTTCCCCCCATTATTTATATTCAGAACAAGGTTCACTGATCTCTAAGGAAAGAAGTGATAGACACACTTTCTGTAAAGAACCAGAGAGTAAATACTAAAGTTGTGGGCCACATGCAGTGTCTGTAGCATGCCCCTTTCCTCCCATCCCACCAACCCTTTAAAATATAAAAATTTTTCTTAGTTTTGGGGCTGTACCAAAACATGTCTGAATTTGGCATGTAAGCTAGCAGTACTTTGCAAACCTCTATCTTATAACATTAAGAGCAGAAACCCAAGAAAAAGGGAGGCAGCCAAATGAAACAAACTTCCTCAGTGTGGTCCCTGTTCAGAGCATCTAATAGTTTACACTCAACTCATTTCTCAGAGAATTTAAACCAGATTACAAAAATCACAAATAAAAATAATATATTTATAAAATTAAGACTTGGTAAAAAGAGATCAAAATGGCAAAATCAGAAACATACAGCAAATGGGTTGAATCAATTAACAAATGCACACCATGAGTAAAATAGCTGGTCAAACTTGAGACAGCTATGTAGTACATTGACAACTATGACAATCAAAAAATTTCCTGGGCTAGGGTTGTGGCTCAGTGGTAGAGTGCTCACCTAGTACATGTGAGGCACTGGATTTGACCCTTAGCACCATATGAAAGTAAATAAATAAAACAATGGTATTGTGTCCATCTATAATTGAAAAAAAAAATTCCTGCTTATGCTTCAATTGAGGGGGGTGGTATGGGTTATATAAAGAGATAATGTACAAGGTCCTAGTATCTCTATGGATATGTTAAAATGAGCTGAATTTTTATTTTTAATTTTTTTTTTGTAGATGTAGATAAATAGCATGCCTTTATTTTATTTGCTTACTTTTTTTTTATGTGGTGCTAAGTATTGAACCCAGTGCCTCACACATGCTTAGGCAAGTAACCTGCCACTGAGTTACAGCCCCAGCCTGAGCTCTTTGAATTTTTATATACTGCCCTTTAAAACATTAATAACAAAATGCAAGTGAGTGAATATAATTCTAAAGAGGCCAAGACAACCTAGTCTAAGAGGGAAACTTTTTTGGTCAGGCATTACCTTAGATTAAACAAACTAAGGAATAGATGAATTATTATCCTTCAGATATTTTCATAAATATACTTATTAAAGAAAACATCTCTTTCATGTTTTCCTTAAAGCCTTTTCTTTCCTTAAAACACAGACATGAATCCATAAAAGCTGGGCAAAGGCAAATCCAAGAAAGAGAAAATACTCAGAATCACTCTTTCCCTCCAACTTTAGAGATTTTTTTGAGGTCAAGCTCCTTATACTCAATTTCTTCATTTTGGCTAAGTTCTTTCTCAGGAGGCCGCTATGTAATGTACACAATTAGATTACTGTAAGGCCCACCTAGGTCCATGAACTGTCCCAATTATGTTAAAATCCCAGCAATGGAAAAAGATTAGCTAAAAGATGGGACCTTCAAAGTAAATATTCCCCAATATGGTACGTAATAAAAATGATGCTATCCTTACATTACATAATTTGTCACAGTCTTTTACTACATAAACTATACATACATATTCTCTTTACAAACTAGTCTTTTTAAAAAAAATTAAATTTGTTTTAAAATTAGTTATACATGACAGCAGAATGCATGTTGATACATCATATATAATGGAGTGTAATTTCTCATTCTTCTTGTTATATATGATGTATACAGTGTTTTATTTTGGCTTGATATTGAGCTTATTGAAGTTCAAATTTGCAGTAGAGAATTTCTAGTTTTAACCATAGAAAACTAAATTCAAAACTATTGATGTGTGGGCTGGGATTGTGGCTCAATGGTGCTGCACTTGCTTAGCACATGTGAGGCACTGGGTTTGATTGTCAGCACCACATAAAAATAAATAAATAAAATAAAGGTATTAAAAAAAAAAAAAAACTGGGCTGGGGCTATAGCTCAGTTGGTAGAGTGCTTTCCACACATGCACAAGGCCCTGGGTTCAATCCCCAGCACCACAAAACAAACAAACAAACAAAAAAAATTGTTATTGATGTGTAAGCCTTGAGTTTAATCCCCAATACTACAAAACAAACAAAATCCCTGTTGACTATGAAAATAAAGATGGCTCTACAAAGTTAGGGATTTTAAAAAAAGGAAAACAAAGTTTAGTTTTACAAAAGGATTGTATTAGGGGCTGGGGACGTAGCTCAGTTGGTAGAGTGCTTGCTTGAGTGCACAAGGCCCCGGGGTTCAATTCCCAGCAGCACATGAAAAAAAAAAAGGAAAAAAAAAAAAAGAAAAGAAATGGCTCTTACAAACGTATTAAATTCATAATTGAACAATGCCTATTTGAATTTTGTATGCTATCTTTCGGTCCCTCAGCTATGGCAGTGTAATTGTAGCACAAATGTCACAGCTGTTCAAGCTTTTTAAGAAAAACCTTCACATAGCCAAGGAAATAAGAGGTTGCTCATTTGTAGTAATTTCAATTTGTGTGTGTGTGTGTGTGTGTGTGTGTGTGTGTGTGTGAGAGAGAGAGAGAGAGAGAGAGAGACTGGGGATTAAACTGAAGAGGGAGGGCATAAACCACTGAGCTATATGCACAGTCCTTTTCATTTTTCAATTTTAAGACAGGGTCTTGCTAAGTTTCTGAGGCTGGCCTTAAATTTATCATGCTCCTTCTTCAGCCTCCACTAGGCCCATCTTTATAGCAATTTCAAAAGACAAGAATCGGGATACCAGAATAGTGAAAAAAAGACATAAATGATCAGGTTTAATTACAATGTAGCAAAAAAAAAAAGTGTAGAAATT